AATTGCTCGAAGAGGAGAGTTACCATCCCTTGAGTAAACATACGACGCAGCACGCCATTGTGCCGTTTCTTTCTTCATTGTCTTGTGATTTGCCTGGTCGACGATCGACGATGATCAGAAGACGAGGTCAAACTTCTGAGCCAAATACATCTTTTATCACCCGAACCGCACCGCATCGCGAGGGAAAAGACGACCGGCCGGCTAGTGCACCAATTGTGAGGTACTACTCACTTCTCATATTTATTTGCATAAAGTGAACGGCTATATATAGTACACAAGTTGAACAACAGTTATGCAAGAGTTGCGCAGGTGTTGCGCAAGAATAGAAAGAATTGGAAAACAACTGCAAAACAGAAAAGAAAGGACAAGAAGAAGACAACACAGTCTTATGAGCTGCCAGGAATGGCAGATCATAATAGTTTGTAAGCTACGTTGATTTTCTGCGTTAAAAAAATCAGTCTAAATGAAGCAAACAGAAAGAAATTGCAAGAACGAAAGAATATCTCCTCTTGCGGCTACTGTTGTCGACGTGCGGTGATGATCAGCCCGGTTTATCAGTTTCAAGCAGCTCGATAAACCAAAGGAGTTGCCTTTTCCTCTGCTAGTCATTAAACTACATGGATGAAAGAATTCGTATCTCGATATAACTTTTCTGATGCAGTTTTTGACACTGAATCCGAATTTGAAGTCAGATTTTGCCGCGAATATTTTGGCTTTTTTAAAAATTCAAAATATTTTGCCTGTATCCCGTTAGAGCAGAATTTTTAAAAGTGCTTATTCTTTCCATGCATCTATATGAACCATTTTTAGTAATAAACAATAGGACTGCGACAATGCGAACTGTAAATTAAGGCAGTGATTCTACGAAACTCGGCGCCTTCTATCCGAATCTACAATAAAATCTCTAAGTATTTGTGCCACCGTAAATAAAGTTTTTTTAGACATAAATATTCATGCTTTGAAGCTTCTCTTTCTATGTGCATATATAACCACGTACTCGAGCCAAAGAAAACCTAAAAACATGTGAAATATAACCTTATTGACGGGAGGAGTGTTCAACATTGTTAGGAATCAAACATGTCTTTTTGCGGAAAATTCAGAAAAATTCTACAGCTTTTGTTAAGGTGACGGAAAAAAATTAGAAATATGTTTTTCTACGGCCTAACGGCTTTAAAAATATTCACTTAAATTAAGCATGCAACGATTTCGATTAAAAATTGAATAATTGAACATCGATTATTCGATTTTTTAATCGAAATCCGGGCATACCTATAGCGAAAAATGTTTTTATATGTCAAAAACTTGAACTCATAATATTGCCTATATTGTACCAAAACTTTCATTTTATATAGAACCAAGGCCTTCCAACATCCAACAGTCTCGGTCTTGTGCTTGGTGCATGTCTGTAAACAAGCTTGAGGTTTAAGTTAGAAATTTCCTTTTTTCATTGATTTTTAATCGAAAGAAATCGAATAATCAAGTTCAATTATTTTCGATTCCGAATAATCGAAGTTCGATTACTCGAAATCGGTGCATGCCTAGCCTTAATACACACTGTGCGATCCAGCCTAATTAAACGTTTTGTACACGTTTCGGGATCGGTTCGACCCTTTTCGGTCTGTAGCCTATATTTCTTTCTTTTTCTCAAAAAAAATGTCCACAGAACGTATGATTATCAAAACGTAATTAGGCATGCACAATATATTGAGTTTTCACAATATTATTGGGTATTGGATCGCCCTCACCCTCACCTCACCCTGAAATGACAACCTTCGGTGGCTACCGATCCAATATTTGTCTCATTGCACACAACTGACAACAAATTTCAGTCACGCCAATCGTTTATTATCGTTGTCTTTAAGTATTTTCTTTAACGAGGTCAACTCATTGTCAAAATAAGTTTTAACTTTATCTTCTGTTCCCGGCATATTATTCAAATTTCGTAAATGTTCAATGGTGTCGGAAAAATAGTCACGACTTTGCGTTTCAGCAAAATATCTGGCCATAATAGTATCAAATTTGTCTTGACCAGTGCGTTGAAATGCAATAAAAACCAAATTAAAACACCTTGATAATGGTGAGTCAATGTGTGTAGCTGAACTAACATCTAATACAAGTTCGTAATAAGCTCGTAATATTGTTGATACTGGATCACGTGCATCACCACCACCCAATCTTGTTGCAGATTTTACATGTGATAATCGAAATACTTGAAGATTAAACGAACCAAAACATGTTGTGACACCAATAACGAATGTCGAATGTGATTTAATGAAATCGGTTGATTTTCTTGATTTGAAACATAATACTACACGGCCGTCCGATTCTTCTTGTGTTGATGTAGACTTTTGCTTTGTTAAGCCGTCAGATTCTGTCAGCTGATCTTGCAATGTAACAAAATTAACGAAATCAACCAAAAATCCTTTTAAATAAATATAATATGGATTAATTTCATCGGAGAAATAACAAGAAGCAGCTATATTAAAAACAGAATTAGAACCACAGCCAGCCACGAATCGAATTAATTTTTGTGTCACCAAATATTTACTGCCCAAATGTTGTGTGGCTTCTTCATTAAATAATTGATTGATACTAAATGGATCGCAGCCATGATTCATAAATTCACGATAAACAAATTTAAATTGAGCAGGAATCAATTGTTTTTTAATAAAATAATTATACCAAGAATTTCCTTCAATTAAATCGTTCAATAATCTTCGTTTTTCCTCCATTGATTCACCAATCGAAATAATTTTTAATTCAGCAAGCCGATCTTTTACAATAAAATGATGATGTCCGCAGAGGGAAGAGACAGGAATTGTCGGATCAGCGAGAATATTGCCAATTTGATCACCAGCATTACGAACAATACTTGCAATATCTTGACTCATATAACTAATAATTCTATGACCAATTATTTGTCCGGTGTAACGCACAAATGAATTAATTGTTTGTTTTGCAATGTCAGCACCAAATGTGGTCAAGCGAAAAATGGCATTATTTTCGTAAATATAAGTATCAAATACATTGTACCATCGTGCACAACTCGATCAAAAATGACGATCAGCACATTGAGGTGTTCCAAAAGTGATACAACGTAACCATACTTTATCCAACGATGAGCCAAATTCAACAAGATTTTGAATCACTTTAACAGTAAACAATTGACTTACCGCACCACCAAGTGAATGGCCTCCGACAATAACTTTCCATCCTTCATTCAGCCAGTTGATAACGGCTAATAATGGACCCGATTCAGCTCGTTCAGAAAATCCTGAATGTCTATCGCCTCCATAAACGTTACGATCGGAATATAAACTAGCATCTGTAAATACATCTTGAATCGATTTTGACGAAACAGTTGCATGAAAGACTAAAATAATTACTTTGTGTTCATCTTGACGACAAATCAGAAATGGATGTTGTTTTTCGGAAAGTAATCCTGGATCTGAAAACATTAACGTAAATCGTCCAGGAAATAACATTTTACATTCGGCAAGTTTACTTTCAATATACTTAAATTTCGAATTAGGATCATTACCATCAACTTCACGCATATCGTGCAACCACCAACAGAGATTAATTAATAATCTAACCCAAATTTTACCTTGAACAGTTGAATGAACACTTGTTGACACATTTAGTGGTGGAATATCAGGAAATAAAATTTCCTCTTCGTTAACGACAGTTCTTGATTCAGACATTGAGAGAAAATAAATATTGATTTAAGTTGTGACGAATGAATTTACAAAACTAAAGTTCCAATCTTAAAACAAAACAAAGATAAGATGTATTATTAAATGAAGAGGACAAGAATGTGGCTTTTGTAGCTTGTCCGTTCGAGATTTAAAATACTTATTTCTCTCTTTTTGTCTCTTCATTATGTTTTGTTTATATCAAAGAACGAAAGGAGATGTATGTTGTTGTACTTTTAGTAAATATTATTTGGCAGTCTACTTTGAAAATGATCGAATAAATAGGTTGAAATATCACAGGAAAAAGAAAAGAAACTAACTGCATTATTCATTTATTATATTTGCCTAAAAATTTCGTGCTTTCTTCCTTTTCTGCTCGTGTATATGTGTCAGTGTCCAAGCTGGGATACAGGCCAATCCAGAATTCGACTAGACCAATCTAAGATCTTACTTTGGACTAGTCTAAACGGAGATTAAAAGTCTTTTTGTGTCATAACTTTGTCTTTTCCTCACCCTCACTCTCAACTCCACTCTCAACCTACAACAATAGCAGTAAGAATTGTTCTGACACGAGAGTATTTGGACAAGATAATGGAAATATACGACGAGGTCATTTCAAAAGAACATTCTATCGGGGAAATCAATACATTCAAAATAATCAGACTACTAACCCTGAAACTGCTACCATCTCTACTAGTGTCAACTCTAATCAATGACTTCTTATGAAGACGATGCATGACTGGGCTCAAACGGAACGAATATGAGTTTCAAATAGTGTTTTCACTGTATGAAATGCTTGATTCGTCTTGAACTTCTGCATATACTATATTAGTTTCATCTACTTTGGTCCGGCTTTGGAGCTTGCATCTGATTTTCTAATGATGACACGAATTGATGTGGGCACATATAAATAAATAAAATTTCGTCTTTCTCGTTTTCTTGCTTTCTGTGTTCACCTCTGTATGAAGAAGAAGAACGAAAAATCAAACAGATGGTATTCTTTGAAGTTGGACGTTGAACTGAAGCGTAGAAAAGCGTGAGGTCTCAACACGGAGATCTTCGAGCAACAATTATCGTTGCCTTTGTGAGATCTTTTCGGTGCACAACGTAATGGACTGTTCCGAATACCTATGACTTCCAAACCACTGTTCTTTAGAAAATAATGGACAAACTTTCATATTGTTTCTTGCCTTTTCGTTCCACAGTATAGTTCAAAACAAACAAAGTTTTTAAAACTGAAAAATTGAAATGTTTATATACATTTAAAACCATTTTAAATGTATATAAATATAATATCTGGCGCTCATGAGACTAAACATTCGTTTTTTCCGTTTATCATTGTGTTTCTGAGAACTACAATCATAAATGGAAAAAACGAATGTAGGAGGTTCATATTCGATTCATTCTATTAATTTTCCAAAATGATAGCACATTTTTATCCTATGTTCAATCGACTACTATTGTGTAGCTAATGCTCAATATATTTTTCATTCAACCTGAATTGTGCTAGATATTAATGAATTATAACCACCAATCTCTTTCCAGTTGTTTGTAAAAACAAGTTTAAACATTGTGCCAATGATCTCGATTTTGTAGTTTCTCATCTTCATCCTGCCTTGCAATTGCAATTGCAAAGAAAATCAATTGTCCTGACAAAAGTATAAAGACTTTTTTTTTGAAATTTCAAAACTTTTAGAAGTTTGCGTATTTTAAAATGGAATTTCACGTTTTTATTTTAGTTTACTTTATTATAATGATCTTTTGCGATCGAGAATTATAACTCCTTGACCTTTGCAAGAGTTCGATATATGTACACTAGAATCTTTCACTAGATTAAAAAGTATCTTCCCATCAGTTTTAGACTGTATTTGAAAATGCTTAGCAAATTTTAAACGATAGAAGACTTTTCAATTATCTTTTTAAGATCAGAGGTTAAAGCCGGCTGCTTAGATTTCAGGACATAAAAACTTCTTTTTGTTAAAACATCTTCCTCTTCATCGCATTTTCATAGATGTCAGAATTGTTACACTTTGGCTAAGTTGAAAACGCATACTGTGGAAAAGTGTATATGTAGTGTTCGTTACCCGATCCATCTATTCAAAGCTACTGATATATATATATATATATAGACATTCATCCTGTCTAGCTATTCATCTTCTCTAGACATTCACCATTTCTAGATGTTCATGCTCGCGAAACTTATAAAGATCGATACTATTTTGTAGTGTTTTGACAATTGGATATTGAAGCATACAACTTATCGTAAAAGTTTTAAGCATTGTTCTTTATACTTTATTGAAGTCGTATAGGTTAATGGATAAATGTTTATATTCAATTACTAGTCTAGAGAAGATGAATAGCTAGAGAGGATGAAAAAACGTTTGTGTATAGGTGAAGGATAATAGACACAACGTACATATATATATGCACACAGATTGATATATATATATATGTTATATACCACAAGTTAGCCAATATGTTAAAGTTCTGACACCTCTCAATACTTGATTTTCAGATTCCTCGTATAATTTAAACCATTATTTAATAGATATATTTCTAAGAAGCACGTAACGCAAACTTCAAACGAAATTTCTTTTTGAATTTACCATACATATTCTTGTTCAGCGCATTGAGCTGATCACGAATATCACCCTCCCAGTCTGAGAAAACGCTTTCATTCATAAGAAAAATCCACAATACTGGGAAAACCTTAAAAATCGCTAAATCTTTTTGTTTTTTTAAGCAGTTGAATTTTTATTTAAAAAAAAATACAGCAAATCGGGCTTTCTCCCATTACATGCTGTCAAAAAGTAAAATTTAAAAAAAGGTAAGAAAAAACAGTAGAAAAGATAGAAGAAGACAAATTTTTGAACAGTAGAGGAGAGTGC